TTTGATGTGCTTTTGTTGTTTTCAGTTTGCCAGAATTTTATTGAGAATTTTTGCATCTATATTCATTAGAGATATTGTTCTGAGTTTTCTTTCTTTGATGTGTCTTTGTCTTTGTCTGGTTTTGGAATCAGGTGACATTGGCCTCATGGAATGAGTTTGGAAGTGTTCCCTCTTTTTCTRTTTCATGAAATAGTTTGAGGAGTATTGGTGTTAGTTCTTCTTTAAAGGTCTTGTAGAACTCAGCTGTGTATCCATCTAGTCCTGGGCTTTTCTTGGTTGGTGATGTCCTCTATTTCCTTGCTTGAAATTGTGTATATAATCCTGATTTAGTTTGGGTATATCATATACCTCTAGAAATTTGTTGATGCCTTCGATATTTTCTGTTTCATTGGAGGACAAATTTTCAAAATAATTTCTGTAGTGTCCGTTGAGATATTTCCTTTCTCATCATGGATGTTAGTAATCTGAATTTTCTCTTTCCTTCTTCTCATTAGCATGGCTAATGGTTTATCATTTTCATTTATTTTTTCAAAGCACCAATTTTTTGTTTTGTCAATATTTTCAATTGTTTCTTTTGTTTCAATTTCATTGATTTCAGCTCTAATTTAATTATTTCCTATCTTCTGCTTTTGAGATTGATTTGTTTTTCTTTTTCTAGGGTTTTGAGATATAATGTTAGGTCATTTATTTGTTGACATTTTCTTCTTTGAAGGAATGAACTCCATGAAATGAATTTTCCTCTTAAAACTGTTTTCAGGGCTGGGGATGTGGCTCAAGCGGTAGCGCGCTCGCCTGGTATGCGTGTGGCCCGGGTTCGATCCTCAGCACCACATACAAAACAAAGATGTGTCCGCTGATAACTAAAAAATAAATATATATAAAAAAAGAAATTGTCCAACTGTCTTCCAAAGTGGCTCTAACATAAAAAAAAAAAACTGTTTTCATACTGTCCCAGAGATTTCAATATGTTGTATCAGTGTTSTCATTTACCTCGAAGAATTTTTTAATCTCCTCCTTGATATCTTTTGCAACCCATTGTTCATTCAGTAGCATTTTATTCAGTCTCCAGGTATCAGAGTAGCTTTTATTTTTTTATTTTATCATTGATTCCTAATTTCATTCCATTGTAGTCTGGTAGAATGCAGGGTAGTAACTCTACTTTTTTGTATTTACTAAGAGTTGCTTTGTGGCATAATATATGGTCTATTTTAGAGAAGGATCCATGTGCTTCTGAGAAGAAAATATATTTGCTCGTTGATGGATAATATATTCTATTATATGTCAGTTAAGTCTGAGTTATTGATTGTATTATTGAGTTCTATAGTTTCTTTGTTTAGCTTTTGTTTGGAAGATCTATCCAGTGGTGAAAGAGGTATGTTAAAGTCACACTACCACTTGAGCCACAACCCCAGCTCCTGAAATGACCATCTTTATCCCTTTTGATTAACTTGGGCTTGAAGTCTACTTTATTTTATATGAGAATGGAAACCCCTGCTTGTTTATGCAGATCATGTGAATGGTATATTTTATCCCAACCTTTCACCTTCAGTCTGTGAACATCTTTTCCTATGAGTTGAGTCTCTTGAAGGCAGCATATTGTTGGGTCTTTTTTTTAATCCAGTCTACCAGTCTTTTGGTTGGTGAGTTTAGGCCATTAACTTTCAGGTTTATTATTGAGACATGATTTGTATTTCCAGTCATTTTTGTTTATTTTTGCATTAAACTTGACTTGGTTTCTCCTTTGATTGGCTTTTCCTTTATTATAGTTTTTCCTTCTGCAAATTTTCATTGTTGTTTTTCATTTCCTCCTTGTGGAATATTTTGCCAAGAATGTTCTGTAGTGCAGGCTTTCTTGCTGTAAATTCTTTGCTAAGTTGCTGAGGCTGGCTTTGAACTTGCAATTCTCCTGCCTCAGCCTCCTGAGTTGCTAGGATTTTAGGTTTGTGCCACCACACCCTGCTCCTAACACTAACCTGTTCAATATCAAACTGTTGATTTTTCCACCTCAAAATCTTATTTCTCCTGTAGTCTTCCCATCAAAGTAAATGGCAACTCTCAGCTTTCATCTTCCCAGGCCAAAAACCATGGAATCATCTTTGACTTCTTTCTCCAACATCCTATATCCACCTAATCCACATTTCTAAAACAAAAGCAAAATCCACCTTTCACCCGCTTGATCATTTCTACCTGGTCCACCTTGCTTTCATTTTTGCCTTGCCTTTGCAGTAACCTGTCTCCACCTTTGCCTTTTTTTTTTTTTTTTTTAAATGTGGTCTTGCTGTGTTGCCTAAGTTGGCTTTGAATTCCTGAGTTCAAGTGATCCTTCTACCTCCTTAATAACTGGGACTATAGGCATGTGCCATCATGCCTGGTTCATCAACCTTGTCTTCTTTAATCTACACAATAGGCAAGTGGTCTTTTTTAAAATATAAGGCAAATATGAAAAATAAATAAATAAAATATAAGGCAAATAAATCCTCTGCTCAGAACCCTCCAGTTTCCTATGTGATTTAAAATAAAATATAATCTAGACCATTTCTACAAGATCCTACATATTATGTTCTCTGTTATCTGTCCAACATTATCTCTTCCCACTTTCCCCCTTGATCAGTCTCTTTAGCCAGAATGACATGCCTACTATTGTCTGAAAATAACAAGTATTTGGCAATGTATTTCTCTTATCCCTTATGCTAAAAATGTTCTTCCTTCAGATATTCCAAACACTTTCTTTAGAGCACTAYAAAATGTCACTGTATTGCAAAAACTAATAGTAAGATTCAAAAGACTGAATATTTGAAAACAAACAGGGTTCTAAGTACAGCAATGGACCACCAGGTCCTGGTAAGCATGTGATTGAAGATTTATTTAAGAGTTGTGCCAGGGCACACTGTGCTAGGCAGTAGGAGGCCCTGACCTTACAGAGATTACAGTTTATTAGAGAAAACAAAAAACTAAAAAGTAAATAAAAAAATAGAAATACAAGGAAATAAAAGGTAGATGATAGAATAATTGGTGGGAAGGGTTGGGGGAAAACCGCACTGAGGGGCTGGAGTGGTCAGAAAAGGTCTAAGTAGATGAACCTGTGCTGAGATCCAAAGGATGAAAATGAGATGATTAGGGAAAAGAGTTGTCAGGGCACAGGGATGATCAAATGCAAAGACCACGAGGCAGGAAAGAGCTTGGCAGATTCAAGGAAATGAAAGTAATATTTAAAAGTCATTATGAGGGCYAGGGCTATAGCTCAGTGGCAGAGTGCTTGCCTAGCACATTGGAGCACTGGGTTTGATCCTCAGCACCACATAAAAATAAACAAATAAAATAAAGGCATTCTGTCCATCTACAACTACAAAAAATAAAAATAAAAAAAGATAATTATGAAACCTGGGATCATCTAAGCAACTTAGTGAGACCCTGTCTCAAAATAAAAATAAAAAGTTCTAGGGATGGGGCTCAGTATTAAGTGCCCTTGGGTTCAATCCCTGGAAACAACAACAACACAAGATGTATGTTAGGCATCCAAATGGAAAGATTGAGTAGACAGTTTGGATATATGAGTCTGTAGTTCATGATTTAAATGTGGGATTCTCAAGAAATAAAATAGTATTTAAAGCTATGGGATCAAATCAGGTCACCAAGGAAGGAAGAGACTTATTTTGGAGGAGGGGGTGTTTGGTGTTTTTTTTGTTTGTTTGGTACCAGGGCTTGAACGCAGGGGTGATTTACTACTAAACTATATCCCTGGCCCTTTTT